ACAGAATGAAAGTTTTTCTCCTTGTCAAAGGAGACAGGGTTACCAATCAAGTAACCATGTCAACCTCAATAACCAGACATCTTAAGCAGCAGGCAGCAGAGGCTAATCAGCTCTCCATACTGATATCGGTAGTGCCAGATCAATAGCCTACAAAACTCCCATCTTTTCCACAAACCCAAAAAAATCCCACACAGAAGGCATTCTCAATCAGACTGAACAGTACTGGACTAAACAAAGTATCAATATAATCAGGTATATTCATTTCAAAATTGCTGCATAATATTCGTAAAGCAAAGGCATCCTCAGGATCAACCATTCTAGTCGAAGTGATGAAAATAGTACTGCAGCATTATGATGCAATCTCACTGCAGCTGCTTCACATAGGCTGAACTGTCTATGGAGATTCTTAGTCATTCTGGTCGTGGTTGTCCCAAAGGTACTTTTTCAAGAGGCAACTGGACTTGCTGGGTTTTTTTTTTTTTTTTTTTTTTTTGCTTCTCATCCATTCAGCTGAAGAAGCTTCTTGGATGAGAAGCGAAATGTCTTCAAAGAAAAACCAGAAAGTCCAGTTGCTTCTTGGGAAAAAAAAAGCACCTTTGGGATACTCAGATACTTTTTCTGGAGGCAGCTAAATTTTCTTGTTTTTTCTTTGAAGACATTTCGCTTCTCATCCAAGAAACTTCTTCGGTTCTGACAGGATAGTGGGAAATGGAAGGATTTATATTCCTTGCAGACAGCTGGTCATCCGCATCCTTTTAGAGGGTTGTTGAAGCACTTGGAGGTTTATCTGTCTCCTCAGGGTCACCTGACTAGTGTTCCTGGTTCCTGTAGTCTGCATTTTTTTTCTCTGGAAATCCATTCCTACTCCCACCCCATTCAAAAGGTTTTCACCCCAAATTGTATAGCTAGAAATCAATGAATATAAATCCTTACATTCCCCACTAGCTTGTCAGAGTTGAAGAAGCTTCTTGGATGAAAAGTGAAACATCTTCAAAGAAAAAACAAGAAAGTCCAGCTCCCTCCAGAAAACGCACCTTTGGGATAACCGTGACCTGGATGATTGAGAATCTCTACAGACTTTCACCTTTGGGATAGGCTGAACTGCTTCTTTCTGGCCACTTTCCTATATATTTTTCTCAACCACTCTATTTTACGAGTGATCCATATGCTTTTTGCTTGGAGAATCAATGGAGAACTTTATATTTTAGCTGGGGCAAATAAGCCAGAGACATCTCTAATGTGAAGAACTGTTCTGGCCAAACTATTCTGAGGCAAACATATCAGAAAAATCAAAATTAAACTCAAGTCATTCCTGAAACAAATTTGTCTGTACGATTGCAAATCCTTCCCTCCCACTTCCTCGATTTCCTGATAAGTCTATCTGAGGATTCATTCTGGCCAATGGAATAACAAATGTATATTTGTCTATGATCTAAAACTGTATCAATCTTTAAACCACAAATGCCTTCACTTGTATAGATTCAAAGACATATCATACTCTATATTTCCTGAGCAGAAAGAAATGTAAAAGACTATCTCCATCCAATACAAATATCCACCCCATGTAATTGAACAAATGCCATATATTATCAAACATTTTGGTGAGCTCTTGGATACTCTGTATACTTTAGTTGGGATCTTGACTTCCCAGGACAAAAAAACCCCCAAAACATACATAATTGTATGGTTTTGAAAAGTGAGGATATTTCTTAATGTACATGTGTTCAGCATTACTGCACCAAATCAGAGATTCTTAGACTAATAAAACGTAGTAGAGAGAAAGAAATACAAACACCACAGAGAATAAACAGAACACTTCTGAAGTCACCAGTTGGGACTGATCCAGGCTGAGTCCAAACTTTCTATGGGGTGTTAAAGAACAGTATGAAAGATGATTTTCCATATTTTTTCAGATGCAGTGGATTAGTTTGGAGACTCCGAATTCTTACATCAGTGATTGTAATGAAATGTTGGAGGGGTATTTTTTATCCAGTGAAGAGATTCCAGTGCAAAAAAAAAAGGCACTCAAGATATATCTCCCACAACCCTATTTTGTTTTGTTTTGTTTTCATCTTTCTATTTTAGTATTCTTTGAACAAATGCCCAAACCAACTTGGAAACCAGTTGCTCGGTTGGCTATTTTTGTTCCTGATGGAAATGGTGGTGTTTGAATTACATTTGCTGTGCCTTTTTCTTTTAAAAAAACAGAAAATTAGATGCAGAATCATTGTTGTAATTAATCATTTCATCATCATGGAAAATGCATTCATTTGGATGGGTGACTGCACATAAATAGGCCATTCCTCCTGAGAGATATTCAGAATAAAACAGCTGAAAACTGATGGAACGCAAAGAGGAGAAACGAACATTGGTAAAATCTAAGGCAATAACATCTATGGGATTGGAATTCTATCCTTAGTTCTTCAACAGCATTTGTGCTTGGCAAAGGGATTGAAGTCTTATTCGTATGCCTGTAACCATTTCCTTTAGTAGTGTCTTGAAAACCACCATTAGTGTATTAATAAAATGAAAAGAGTTAACTGGCTAAAAGTCAGTTTCCCAGGGCAAATCAATTTGCATCTTGCTAAAGGTTGTCATTATTCATAAGCATTTCCTCTCTCTCTTTTTCTCTTCCTGCTATGTACATACTTGAATATATAAATACATGGATAGGATTGCATCCTGATTATGTGTGTATTCTGAACACATATAGGCTAAACTGATCTGTTGGCTTGTAAGGTAGTCTTTAGATTAGAGATTTTCACTTGCAGGGAATGGTGTGTATTTGCTTGGAATAAAACTAGACTTTGGTTGTCCCAAGGACGCTTTTTTTCAAAAGGCAACTGGACTTTTTTGTTTTTTTCCTTGAAAACATTTTGCATCTCATTCAAAAAGCTTCTTCAGTTCTGACTGAAATAATTGAAATAATTTCTAGATAGAATAGAATAGAATAGAATAGAATAGAATAGGATAGGATAGAATAGAATAGAATAGAATAGAATAGAATAGAATAGAATAGAATAGAATAGATTTTTTTATTGGCCAAGTGTGATTGGACACACAAGGAATTTGTCTTGGTGCATATGCTCTCAGTGTACATAAAACAAAAGATACATTCGTCAAGAATCATAAGATACAACACTTAATGATAATCATAGGGAAACAGTCAATATAAATCTTAAGGATAGTGAGATACAACAAGATGTATGGATCAGGGGTGGGTTCTACTTACCTTTACCACCGTTTTGCAACGGGATTGCGCGCGAGTGCTCGCTTTGCTCTCTCACGCGCCTTGCTTCTATGCATGCAACATCCGGGGTGGTGGGCGGGGCCTCCCGCCTGTTTTACTACCAGTTTTTGAAAAAGCACCTTTGGGACATTTATTTTTATCTTGTGTATTAATTACTTTAACCCACTAGTTTTTACTCTCTTTTTTTGTATTATTCATAATGTTGCTTACCCTGAATTAGCGTGATAGGTATGTGTGGATTGGAACCATAGTAAGTTGCACTTACTATGCACAAAGACTTGTGTATTCGAACTCAAGATGGCAGCGATAGAACTTGAAATCTTCTCTATGTAAGATAATGTGTTTAAGTGTTAAGCTGTGAATAAATCTTTCGTTGGACCTGCCTCCTCCTAATCATGACAAAATGTAACAAGAACAGCAATCTTGTCTGCTCTTGAGGGCTGCAGTACTTCTATCTTTGTTTGAGGCACACCTATCACTGAGAGAAAGTCATCCATAACTTTGAAATTATATTAAATAATAACTGGGCTGAAAAGAAACATAAACCAGAATATGAGGAACTATTAAACTCTGTGGTCCAATAAGATCCTGAACTTGGCTAGAGTAAGAACTGAGAACTCTGACTATCTTTATTAGATCACTATCTTTTAAATGAAAAATAATAACTTAACCTTTATTTATGCTCTCAATCTGTTATTTCCATCTTGGGAAAATGTTCGTCTCCAGAGTTTTATGTAATACGCGCAGAGGTTTCTTCATGATCAAAAACCCCCAACAGTATTTTCCTGGTGTTTGCAAAACGTGCATTACTTTGAGCCAAGTTCAAATAGCTAGTTTAGCCCAACTGTAAGCCAAATCTGTATATTTTGTGCTGCTCTTGGTGTTTTTGGAATCACAACAGCTATCTCCAACTCTATCCACATCTCCCCTACACCTTTAATTAGTAACCATTGCTGTATAACCGAGAAGATGATGCCAGGAGCATTGACAAATGTATTTCACTAGCTAGCCTTTTGGCAATAATTGTTTCAAATACCAATGGAAAAAGAGAAAAGGATAGGTTGGAGGATAGAAAAGAGAGAGAGAAGAAACACTGGACAAATAGAAAGTTAAATACACACTGAGAAATTAAAGTTAAGATCAACCCAAGAAGAATTGAATACCTCAAGTTAAGAAGGGAGTATAATATTAAAGATCTTCAACTTTATTTCTGGGAAATTAGAACAATTAGTCAGTAGAACGACTTGCCTCCAAAAGTTGTGGGTGGTCCAATACTGAATTTTTTAAAAAAAGATTGGACAACCATTTGTCTGAAATGGTATAAGATTTCCTGCATATTTCTTAATTAATTCAAATAAAATATTACAAGCGTATTTTATGCTCAGTAGTCTAAGAAATAGGACACTGAACATTTACTGATTGCAAAGTAAAAATGATTCAAATTGAACTGTAAGAAATATAATTAGAAAGCTACAGCCATAAAATGGGAATATGCTGTTAAAGGAATGTGTGCAAATGGATATATGCTTCCAATAGGTCTATAAGAGCATCTCATTTATCTACCCAGATGTACATGAAGACAATCAGAATAAACTAAATAGTCTGAATTAGGCTAGGGAGATTCATATATGATCTCATACTCCAACATTCAATATTCTTTTATTTTCGAGATTCCAGTAAGTTTCCAACTGATCAGTTGCATGCATATTTAAAAAGGCACTCATAAAAGTAAAGTCACATCTGTACTCACCTGTAATTCTGTTTTTCATTTCCTATGTAAAATCTATCATATTGTGAATAAGCTCGGCTTCCTTCCCAATCCATTAGTTCGATTCTTAGAGAGTAATGTTTTTGACTGGTGGTTATTGCAAAGATGAATTCATTTCCCAGCCAATATTCACCAGAGGGACTACCAAAACCCTACGGGAAAAAACAAATGAAGAAGTGAGTTTCATCATTCTTGCTTTTATTTGTGCAACATACACCACAGAAATTTTCATTCAACAATAAATGTCCTCAATCTGCTTACCGTATTTTTCAGAGTATAAGACGCACTTTTTCCCCTCCTAAAAGAGTCTGAAAATTTGGGTGTATCTTATACTCCGAATGTAGCTTTTCCAAAGCTTTTTTTCAGCCCTAACAAGGTGCTAGCAAGTGACGCAATCTCCACTTCCCTGCTTTGCCTGCCTCCCTCCGACTCTCAGCTGTGAAGCTTTTTTTCAGCCCTAATGAGGCGCTAGCGAGTGAAGCGATCTCTGTGGTTTGCCTGCTCTTCTCATTGATTCTCTCTTGAAAGATCAGTTTTATCCCCAAGCAGGGGATAAAAACCAGCAAACTAATGTGCAGAAGCTGACCAGACTAAGGATGCTAGCCAGATGAATACCTGGTAGGCAGATTTTTTTCCCCCCTATTTTCCTCCCAAAAAACTAAGCTGCGTCTTATACTCCAGTGCGTCTTATATTCCGAAAAATACAGTAGTTCTTATTGTATATATTACAACTTGCATCATTCCAGCCACAGAAAAGTAATTGAGAATGCCAGGACAGAGACCAATGGTAACTGTCACTTTTGAGAAAATCAACTTTCATGAGTATGTAATAATTCTTGACGAATGTGCACAATGTTCTTGATGTCTTTAATTATTGATTTATAATATACACCAATTCTGTTTCAATCATTTCATGAAAATCAGGACAATGACTATGTTTTTCTTTGCTCTCTTGGTTAGATACAGACCTTGTAAGTAATTGCTATGAATAACAAGGCAGAAGGGTTACTGATGGAGACATTCTTTTTCCTAACTAATCTTCTTTTGAAATGTTTTCTCAAAGATATATTTGTTGCCCAATTATTAAAAGATATCATAAAGGATATGATACATGATATGTATGATATGATATGTATCATACATGTAATACAGGGTGCATTTTCAAGCTTTAGTCCCTAAGAAATTAATGATGAAATCAATCAAAATTAACATGTCTCATTGATTTTAATAGGAGCAATTTGCAGCTTATCTCCTTGGTCTGGATGTTATTTAAAAATGTAAAAATAAATGATAGCAATACCTAGGAATATGAGAGAAGCATTGTCCAGTTTAACTCATTTAATAGGCTGAGACTTAAAAAGAAAATAATCTTTAAATATGAATGCTTTAAAATAATGTTTTATTGTATGCCACCTAGAATCACTTCTGTGAAATGGGCAGCTATATACATTATGTATAAATAAATACATAAATAAAAATATATTCCTATGTAACTGATAATTGATATTTTCTAACATATTCAAAAGATTTAAAAGATTACAAATACTGGAATATTTGCATTAATTTCTCAGCCATTTCCTGAGATTTTCTCTTTCTTTTCTGTTTTATAAGCAAATTTCATTTTATCAAATGAAAAATGCAATATTGCTCTGTTGAGTACTAGTTTCTTCTGAACAGTTTATTCCTGAATTGGAAATATCTAAGCTTCCACTGATTTTCAGAAAAATATAAAACCTGGCAAGGACTTTTCTTTACGATTTGACTCAGGTATTCCTCGTCTTCCAGCAATGGTTGGAAATGATGGTACCATTAAGGGCTAATTAAAAAGAATGTTCCCTAAAGTTCTAAAGACTTTAAGAACAAGTAGGATACAATGGTAAACCATATCGTCCTTCATTTCAACTTATATCTTGTACCTTGTAAAGCTGGTAAAGATACTAAAAGTCTTAGAAGAAAGAAATCTCATTGGATGTGCTTTTAGGAATTAGTGTGTAGGAAAATTTAATATTCATATACCGTATAAAGAAGAAAAAAACTCGTCTTGCTAGTACAAAATCTGACAATATCTCATAAACACGATTGTTTTAATAGAACTTCCAACCTAAAGGGAATAAGGACCAGATAGTAGACTGAAAAGCTATTCTTTGATTCAGCTGCTTTGCAGGAATTATTTAGGGCCGATCAAGCATCTCCTTGTTAACAAAATCAGAATCAAAATAACCCAAACAGCAAGGAAACTAGGGGCATGGGTCATGAATTAGAAAAAAATCCAGCATTATTTCAGCAGTGTCAACATTAAGATTTTGCAGAGTTGATGTTAACAATGGAAGGAAAATTCTATGAAGGGTATAAACTTGTTTTATTAAATCTGGCAAAATATATAAGGGTTTCCTATTTGAACCACAGTCTTCCAGTATCATTAAACAATTTTCTCTCTTACTTCATTTTCCTCATCTGATAATGTTCATAGGAAGCGCTGAGGTTTTTAATGGAAAAGAAAATGAAATTGAAACCAGATATATCATATCTTATGGACATGTTTCAAAAACCATTGAATGAAACCACTAATAAGTCAGTCCTAACCTCTCCCTCCTACCTCAGCCAAGTCTATCTTCTGAGAATAAGTAAGAGGATGCTCGAGCTTTAGATGGAAACGATAGAAACGATAGATCTACTGAAGAGTGAGGGGATGGTTTTGAGGGTTTTGACTTACTGAGGGAAAACCTGGACCTCTCAGATTTGGGTTTTCCCAGATGTGCCAGTTTACCTATTCTAGTAAATAGAACTTTGAAAAATGCTTGCTTCAGAGTCTTTACTTGGAGTTGGGTTTTTTCTGGAACGCTGAAACCTTAATTCCTTAATTCGCCATTAATATCCCACTTTTAAAAGGTTATTTCAAGCAAGTCCAGCTGTAACTAATTTTTATAAAGAAATTATAGAGGAGGAGGAGGAGGAGAATATCCACACAATCAAATAGCCCAAAATAAAAATATGGAGACACACACAGATATTAATCATAAAAAGTCTTGTAGAATAAAAACCTTAGCTCACTTTTTCAGGCACATTGCTTCCTGAAGAAATAGAAGAAGAGATAGAGGAGATAATTTGGCTGATAGTTTCATCTTCCTTGCATCAGAAGAAAAGCTTGCTAGAAAACCCTACATTGCAACATAGCACTGACTGATTTTTGGATTCTTTTACTGGCCCAGTTGTGTGACTGTCGGTTTTCCAAGAACTTACAGTTAATTTCTTGGCCAACCCCTTGCCACCTCTGTACAGCCAGTCCTACAAAGAAGGAAGCCACAAGTGAAATCTACTTTGACTTTACACATTCTGGCAAAGAAGAGCAACAAAGATGATTATGAGGCCAGAGGCCAAGACAGTTGCAGGAATTGGGTATATCTAGTCTAGTGAAAAAAAGGATTAGGGGCAGGGATGCTATTCAGCAGGTTCTGACAGGTTTTGGAGAACCGGTAGTGGAAATTTTGAGTAGTTCGGAGAACCGGCAAATATTCCAGGTGGAAATGGAGATTTTGCAATATCCTTCTCCCAGGAGTGGGGTGGGAATGGAGATTTTGCTGTATCCTTCCTCTGGAGTGGGGTGGGAATCAGGGGTGGGTTCTACTTACCTTTACTACCGGTTCGCAATGGGGCCACGCACGTGATCTCGCTTCGCGCATACGAGCTCGCTTCGCACACGCAGAAGCTTCTGCACATGCACAGAAGCATTCTGATGATGTCAGGGTTGGTGGGCAGAGCCTCCCGCCGGTTTTAGTACCAGTTCTATAGAACAAGTGCGAACCAGGGGCAACCCGCCACTGGTGGGCATGGAGATTTTGCAGTATCTTTCTCCTGCCACACCCACCAAACCACACCCACAGAACCAGTAGTAAAAAAATTTGAATTCCACCACTGATTAGGGGTGACATGATAGCAGGATTCCAGTATTTGAGGGGCTGCCACAAAGAAGTGGGGGTCAACTTCTTTTCCAAAGCACCAGAAGGCAAGAGAAGAAGCAATGGGAGAAAAAGAGAGAAACAACCTAGAACTAAGGAGAAATTGGCTGACTTTGAAAACAACCAGAACAGCTTGATTTCAGAAGTGGTGGGTGCTCCATCACTGGAGACTTTCAAGATGAAACTGGACAGCCATTTGTCTAAAATGGTATAGGATCTTCTGCTTGAGCAGTGGATTGGCCTAGTATACCTCCAAGGTGCCTTCCAATTCTGTTATTCTGCTCTGTTCTTTTTCAGCAGTCAAAAGCAGAAGGATTCATATAATCCAGAGATTTGGCAACATTTATCATTTTGAAAGCAACACTCCCCAAAGTAAGCAGGTCCAAGATAAACAAGTAGATAAGACACAGACAAAACAAACAAGCCAAGAGCCCAAACTCAATTTGAACTTATACGTATTTAATTAATATTATATTCTGTTATTTGACATTAACATAACTTCCTATGTATTCAGTAACTTTTTTCTTCTGTTATACATTAAATAGGAGATGTAACTTTCAAGGTGCTGGATAAGGAGTTTGGAGGCCTAATTTCCCACTTGACCCTGGAGCTCACTTTGGGCCAGTGGTGGGTTCCTCCCGGTTCTGCCTGGTTCCGCCGAGCCGATAGCGGTGACGATATGACGTTACCGAATCAGTTCTGCCCCCCCACCCCCCATCCACCTCGCATTATTCTTGCCTTTTATTTGGCCCCATCCCCAATCTATTGCTGCTTCCTGAGTCCCAGCTGATGGGCTATAAGGAAAAAAACTGTTTAAACTCTTGCCACGGGGCTTCAAAGGGCCGCCCTACAGCTGATCAGTGGTAAAAGGCAGTTTGGTGGTAGACCATTGCCTGCAAAAATAAATGGGTAGACCAGTGGCTGCAAAAATAAATGGGTAGATCAGTACAGCAGTTAAAAGCCTGGTAGACCAGTACCTCTGCTAAATCCTAAAGAATTGTCACATGACCATCAAGCCACGCCCACGAAATAAGCCACGCCCACAGAACCAGTAGTAAAAAAAATTAGAACCCACCCCAGCTTTGGGCCCATAATTCTCTCTCTTTCAATCCAATCTACCTTGTGGGAAGTAAGAATAAAAATTTCAAGATGGCAGCTACGATAATCCAGAAAATCCACACCTCTTTTGCGTCATG